TTTTCAGGCAAAGGTTATCAACTAGGAGGCAATAAGGTAAGTAAAATAGAATGTTATCATTGTTAAAATTAAAAGCTGGACAAGAAATGTAGGAACTGAGTTTATTTCTGCTAGCAAAGAACAAGATGACAGTTCTGATAAAAACTTACATTTTCTCAATAGGAAGTACAAGCATCAGTTTTATAAACAGTTTGAAAAAAATAAAAAAATTGTAGCCATACTAATTTAGAAGTGAAATACTGGGCCCACAAATAAATTTCAAGGTCCCTAACTTATTTTTCTTACTGGAAGGTTTTTTAAGAGTTTGACCAAATTTGTAGCTCTGGTTATCTGAATGTCTAGTTATGTAGTTATCTCTGTGGATTGTTAACAGGTCAGTGAATTTGCATTAGGAATTTTGTGCTTTGCATATCTAATTCCAGTAGCTGATTTTTTATTGGCTTTCATCAGCCTGCACTTATAAGTTTCTCTGGTCCCATGGAGGTTTTTCATAAATTGTGGGAGACTGGCAACATGGCCAGAAAAATATGGTTTTCTTAGTCCTTTGTGTACATAATGTGCTGTCATGCATACATTCAGAAGCCAAATAGTGTATGAAAAATATATACTATGTGTGAATTTAGATTCTGACTCCCTAAGAAATAATATCCCTAATATCTTTGGACACACTGTAGTATAGCTAATGGAATGTAAACTTTCGGGTTTCTCATTTGCACTGGTCCTATACACACCCCAGGAAGGGCCCTAGCAATTTTGAATCATAATCTTCTTAAAAAAGACCCAACCCAAATTGTATAAATGGTAAAACCTACAAATCTCGATTTCTCCTTGTCTTAGAGTGAATTGTAGTATTAGATGGCATTCTTAGCACCATAAGAATTAGTGAATGCATGAAAGAAGTGCTAAAGAGATGTTTTCCTCTCTGATTCACTTTCTTGTATACTGTGCAGCTGGGTGTTTGTGCTGGGAGGTGAGAAGGTAGGACTCATATAAAACCTAGCACAGCAGCTCTCAGGGAAGGTTTTGTCTAGAATGAGCCCTGACTATTGTTTAGTTTTGTCAGGAACCAGGTTATGTCGAGAGTAGGAAAGAAATCCTATGTAATTTTACTAATCATTGTCACCCCAATAAACTTTAATTTAAAAATGAAAAGAAAATTAAACAAAAAGAAAAAAGAAATGGTCAGGCCTACTTAGGTGCTGGCCATCTATATAATATTAACCTTTTTCTTGTGTAAGATTTAGGAAATGTTATTAAATATCCTTTTACAAAAATTTTTGTCTTGTGGCATCATTTATCTTGCCTAAATCTTTCTTTTTCACTATTTTGGAATTTTATACCATACAAATGTGGTTGAGTAGCAATCATGTGGGTTGGGATTTTCTTGATGTCAGATTGAGAGCTTACTTTTGGTCTACATGCATAAAGGAAAATAGGAAATATAATTTAGCTTGGGTGAAATGGAAAGTAGCTCTTTTTTATTAATAAACTCCCAAGGATAAAAACAAATTTTATGAATGAACACACTCTGATTAGCTCTGTGGATTTAGTTTTATCACAGTCTGTTCCTTTCTTGAAAAGTATTGAAATGAATATTTGAAAGATGGAAATTTCACTAAAAAAATATTTTTTTGGTCCAGAAACTATTTTTTAAAAATAGTTTCCATTGGAACTGCTTTGCTGTAAAAACTTCTGAATTTATTTTTTATTTTATGCTGCTAAAACCATTCACTTCTGAGAAGCCTTTCTTGATTCTTCCACCCCTCCCTACCCCCACCTGAATTAGCACTGTTTCCCCTGGTATTCCACTTCTGTACTAACTTCCAAATATTTTTACTTGGCTTACATTAAGAATTTTACCAACAAGAGTGAATAAGATATCTTATACTAAGAGCAGTCAGAAAATCTATACATTTATATCTATACATTTATAACCTGATTAAACAAAATTTTTTATGTTTTTCAAAATAATTGTAACTAGTCAATAAGGTGGTGAAGAAAATTGTTAAGAGCTACTTAAAGCTAATACATGAGAAGAGATGGCTCAAAATCTATTAAAAGAAAAAAGTTATCTGCCTGTACAATTTTTTTTAACCTCCCAATACTCTTCTTCGGTACATATATAATACTATTAACAGAATTTACTCCCACTGTAGTAGCCAGCCTCTGAGATGACACCCCAAAGATCTGTGCCCTCCAGTATTTATTCCTTTGTTTTGGCCTCTCCCTTAGTGAATCAGGGCCAATCCTGTGTAACCAGTAGAATCCAGTGGAAGCGATGCATGACTTCTGAGGCTACATCATACGAGACCTTGCAGCTTCTGTCTTGGTCTCTTGGAACAGTTACTTTTCAAACCCTCAGCACAATACTTGAAGTTCAACTACCTTAAGGCCACCTTGCTGGAGAGATCACATGGAGAGGCCCTGAGATTTCATATACAATGATTCCTGGCCAGTCCCCCAGACATTCAAGTCATCCCAGCTGAGGCTCTGGATTTAGTATGGAACAGAGTTGAACTGTCCTCATTGAGCCTTGTGAAAACTGCAGATTCATGAGCAAAGTAAATAATCATTGTTTTAAACCATTAAGTTTCAGGTGGTTTGTTATGCAGTGATAGATAATGGAAACACTCCTCCCCTCTGGTCTCCTTCACTTATAAAGTGTTTCCTTAGGTGAGTGCAGAGTAAGCAGTCACATGTCAGGTCAACTCAAGAACAGGGACTTTTCCAGCCGTTGTTGCTGGGGTAATTGACTTATTCACGCTGTGGAGACATACCTCTTCAGGACTTTCTTCTAAGAAGTAACTATGTCATTTCTGTGGTCAAGACACACAGGGGAGCCAGACCACCTCCAGCGTCTGTGGCCAGGTGGAAACCCACAACCCAACTGTTTAATATAAATTAATATATCCATTACACTGAACATGAAGGGCAGCTTTCTATAGAAAAAGACGTCACTAAAGTATAAGTAGCAGGAGAGGTATAGGCGGAAAAAGCAACCAATTTCTGTCCGAACTCTGCAGAGTTACAGCTGCCAGCACATGTTCGTTTCAGGATCTGCTCTCCACACGTGTTTGTCATATGGAACTCATCTCTGCAGCTGCAACAATTAGACCAAGGCTGTACACTGACCAATCAGTAACCATTCTATTGTATTATCGACTGGCTAGCAATTTACCTGGTTTTCTCCCTTGAGAGTCTGAGCTAAGATACAAAAAGATGGTAGCATGCATTTGGACAGAAAGGCCATGAGGAATAAGGATGGGATGTCTGCTCTCAGCCATGTATATGCCAGTGAGTAAGTAAAGGGAGATAGTTTGCAGAAAAAAAGTGGTGGTGAGAATCCATTGAGGAGAAGGGAGAAGAAAAGAGTAACAAAGAGAGAAAAAAAAGCATCAGAGCTCTAGCATTAGCTCTGTTTATTGGCTTTCTAGTCCCCAGTTTTTTAAATTTAATTTTCCTTTATTTTATTTTTGGTCAAGGGTGATGGTGGAAAGAGGTTTAACAGAAAGGGGATTTTATCTTCACTTTCGTTTAAGTGTCGCTGAATAGATCACTGTTGGAACCTGTTTCCTCCATTGTGCTACGTGGTGGTTACAATTTTAACATTCTGTGATTTAAAATATCTAAGGATCTTATCCAAAACATCCTCACATAGACCTTTCATCTCACTCTGAAAAAGAAAAAGTATGCAATGGGTAAAGATCCTATTGCTTAAGATCTGGAACTTAAACTTGCAGTAATTTCTAATACTTGAGAACATGCACTTTTCTTCCTGATTATGCAATAAAGGACAGGAAGTGAAAAAGGGAACATTGTTAATGCTCCAGTCAGAGACTCATTTAGGATATACACTAGATGTGAATAGGTGTGAGAAAATAAAATGATCACTAAATTTAAACCTGAACTAATCCACATTTGATGTCCTACCAAGATGTCAAAATACTGTGCTCAGAGAATTAAACCAATAATCCACCTTTTCTATTACATAAACAATACATGTGTATTGAGTAAATTCAACCTGAGTATAACAAATGTTAATATTTAGTGTATATATATTTAATATCTCAAGACAAACCCTATACCATTTGCTTAGAAGATTGTTTTTATATGGCAATGCTTATGTTCTCAACTAGGCTATAAACTCCATGAGGGGAACCCTTTTACCATAACTCCACCTGCTGCCCTCCCCCCCCCCACACACACACACATTTCAGTCACTCTCTCTGGGAAGGAATACAGAAAAGGTTATAAATACTTCCTTCACTAGTGTGCAAACATTCATTCTTTTGAGCACCTAGTATGGAGTTGGGCCAGTCCTAGGGAATTAAAAGATACATGCCAGTAAGATAGGGGTTTTTTGGTCTCAATAAATTCACAGTTCCCATAGGAAGAAGATACACAAATAATTATTTTACTAAGCACTTGTGTAATTTTAGAGTGATACGTGGAAGTTTTAAGAAAGCACAGAGGAGAAGGCAAGGAGGGTTGGGGAGGTTGTTGGCGTAGTTTCCCGAGGAGGTGACACTGGCAAGGCGATGTTGGGGCAGAGGATGGGTAATGAGGGGAGGCTTGAGGAATATAGATTTCAGGGCCCCTTCCTGTGTCAGCAGCAATTCCTGTTTCCTTATCACTTGCATAATAAAACTGAAGTACAACGTTCGACTAGGGATCCCTTCTGCACCTCGAACTTGAAAACTGAGACCCAAGAGAAAAAGGGCTGCGGAGCCCACACCCCCATCAGCTAGAGAGCCCCACCGAGTCCTAGGAGGGCGGAGCAGAACTGGGGGCGGGGTCTGCCGTTAGTGCGTAATAGTCAGCTGGGCCCGCCCCTTGGGGCTGACGTAGAAGCCGGGCGTTGATTGGTTGTGTGCGTGCGTCGACCTCTTTTCATAGGCCGCTCAGGGCTGATCGGGGGGAG